GTTTCCTGGGGTCCATTTGCAGGCGAGCAACTGACTGAGGCAGCTCCTGTCAGCCCACTCCGTGGTGAGGACCATAGCTACTTCAACCCAGTGAAGATGGATCGCACGCATGGGTGACTGGTCAGCGTCGCAATCATCCCACTTCCACTTGAAGTACATGTCGGCACCAGCGCGTATCAGCTCGGACACCACGTCGGCTGGAGGCGCACTGTATACCCTGCCAGCCAGTGCCCATCCACGTCGATTGTTTAAAAATGTCCCAAAAGTTGGAGGACCGACATCAGACTCGATGGGTCTCTTGGCAGTGACGGGATGATGAGCTAAAATCAATCGAATCAGCTCCAACTCTCCCCCATCCAAAAGCCAGTTCCCGTCCACGACCAGTGGATGTGCCGGCTCATAGAAGAAGAACTGCAGTATTTGTTCTTTGGGAGGCGATTGCCAACTCAAAGGGTGTGAAGTTAGGGAAGGAATCGTAGCCGTCTTGAGAGCTGCCCACTGCGGCGCCATTGTTCACATTCGCGCCATGGTCCAACAAAACCTGAGCCACATCGTCGGCGCCAGACATGGCAGCGGCATGAAGTAGATTGATTCTGGCATTCCAAAATGCTCGATTAACATGGGTCCTCGCTCTTTGGCTTCGTTGCATGTTGAAACATGATAGTGGTTCCAATTCCGCAGTATAGATTTCCGCAGCGACAAAGACCTCTAGACTTTCCGCCAGGTATCGGCTTCTCATTTTCAGCGTAGTAAGAACTACTTGTTGGATATGGGCGGTTGCGCCTTCCAACCCGGCGGTGCCACTGGAATCAATGAGGCAAAGGACAAGCCGTGGCAGCATGTAGGAGAAGAAGAACTTCCTCTGCAAGACGGATCCAGAGAGTGCTTGGAGGCTTCGGCATGTCCGCATGGTTGATATCAAGTTCGTAGGTTGAAGCCTATCCAGGACATTTTCGATCAGTTCAGGCGGCATTTGCTCAAGGGATGTTCTGATGCTATCAATAACTGTTTTAGAATGTCGCGAGCTCAAACGCAAGTGATAATGGTAGAAGATGGACCAGGCATTATGGCAACAACTCCTGGACTGTTGATGGCAACCTCCAGAACGGGGAGAGAAGAGGAATGGGAGCGGGGGAACTACGTTTATCTAGCCCAAATTACCAGCACATGACATACTTGCGTTACACAACGCCATGATGTAGAAAGCAACACATTTCTGCCGTAAGTTTTGAAGACAACAATGCAGACTGGCCTATGTATGTCTTGGCTGTCTCGGAACAAGGGCAAATCGGAAAGCCTCGTTCTTGGAACCAGACACTAGTTGTGCTGTGCAACAGTGCTAGGCGAATATCGAGAAACAGACATACAGCTTTATGCCACCTAAGGGATGATCAGATTGCCGACGAGCAGCATTAAACAGCTGTCAAAGTGCTGACACCACCAGTAAGCGATTTGTTTTCCGCGAAGAGCTGAAGTTTTGGGCATGTCTTGATCTGAAGAAGTAAGTAGCAGCAGAGATCAACCTTTGAAAGTCCGCCGTCTCTCTTGGAACCTTCCAGGGAATGCTTTCCTTTTCCTTTTCCTTTTCTTTTCGGGCCTAGGGCTGTTTGCTTGCCAGCACACCTGCCGTCTCTGAAAATTCGTCATGGAGGTAGGCTTGGATATGGCCCCACAATTTCAAGATCATCTCCCGCTGCGGTGGTATCGATTCTTTCATCTGCGATCTAAAATACGCCAAAGTCGTCGTCAAAAAAGTGCCTCATATCCAATTTCCAGGCTTTGGGACTGTACCGGCCGCGTTTTGGTACCGTCAATTGCCACCAAAAATTCCACAGCACGCGTTCTGTCTGTGGGTTTGAGCAGCGGCTTTGACAACATTCTATTCGTAAAGTCCAGTCCTCAGCAAGCCGACAGCCTTTCTTCTACCTACACGACCTCGCCTATCAAGCCGAGTTCGAGCTTGCCCGCCAATTTCGTTTTCGTCAGGCGACTTTGGAACGCCGTACCTCAAACCCCCACTTCCCAATCGGTTATCACCAAGGCACTTCGTACAATGTCATTCAGCCTGCCATTGCGCAACAAGAGAGCAAAACAAGACTCGGGAGTTTCGTCTTCCAGGGCTTGTAAGGAACCGGGGAAATTTGACCACTCAGCGAAAATGAAGAAAGCATGGGTCACCCGAAGAAAGAATCAAGCAGCCAGAAAAGCCAACGCACAGGCTAGTTTGACGACTTCTCAGTTACAGTGTAAGTTCTACCGTGCTAAATGAGTAGATTGCTAACTTTGGATAGCTGAACAAATTCGAAGCATGGGGAAAAGCGACAAAGAGGCTGACAGCACGGCGTCCGATATTCAAGAACCGGCTCGCCTAATGGTCACATTCAATGTCCGGGAGATCATGTCAAGGATCCAAGCCCGATGCAACAGCAGCAGTGAAGCAGAGCAGCCTCCACAGATCTTTGAACGAGAATCAGAGATAGAAGTACGTCTTCGTTTCATACTAGGTGCAACGCAATTGACACAGGCAGTTCCCAGCGGAAATAACCCAATATCGAGTCGGTGAGCGCCGCAGAGGCTCTCAAACTTTGTGGGATATTCTCAATCGAGGGGTCGACGTCATCGACTCTATCGCCTCTCATCGCATCGTCTTTGCTGACGGAGCTCATAACATTCAGCTCTACGCCGTTATCAAAGGAAACCACATGTACGGAACCGGTTGGAAGACGGAGCTGGAACTGAGTTGGATCGCCCTGTCTGAGGTTACTGCGTACTGGGCTTCATTCCCGGGAGGACGCGATGGCGCTATCAATTCAATCAGCCCCATTCTCCTGAAGAAGCGAGTTCTCGTGGTCCTTGGCCATCGCAAGAGACGCTACGGCCGGCTTGAGCTCAAGGTGCTGTACCAAGGGGTGGCTCCAAATCCCATTTGGGTGGAGGATTGGAAGGTCCAAGTTGGTCAGGAAATGGACGCACGCACTATGGATGACTACTGGAAGACCATCGCCGTACAGCCTGGACCGTACGGTTTGCAAGAAGTTGTGGAGGAAACAACGCTGGAGCTCAATATTCAACCAGACTGGCCGATGACCATGGGGTCTTTATGAGGTGGAGGGTTTAAGGGCATCTGTGCGTCTTGTCTTCGCATATGCCGGGCAAGCAATTCAGAAGCACGATTTTGGCGGAGCTTGGAGAGCATCACACGACATCGGCTGCTCAAAGGTCGACTTTGCTCGCTTGCCTCCCCATCAATAGCATTGCCTCTCCGTAGCAATGCAGAAAAACCTCACAGGGCTCAGCTCAAGAGCATTCACACTTGGTAATCTTAGGGTTGCACCGTCTTATTGCGGAAAGAAAATTCGATTGCTCTGTTCGTAATGCGCACGCATCTGGCGTCATCGACCCCATTGACAGATCCTCCAGACCTTGTGCCGGCGTGGCACTCATTAAAAAGCTGTCACTATAATAGGTTAGTTCGGGTGTCGAGGAAACTGGCCTTACAAGCAGGTGTGACTCACTCCCAACAAATTTCAAGCGCGTATCTTTGAAGCGACTCATTCCACTCGCCTGGATGGAGATTGGCAGACTCTGCACAACTGCCGACAGACGCTTGCTAGCCCGTGCCGCAGGTGCTCAGTTCAGTTTGCGATCGCCGGCCAGTATGGCGACCGTACGAGCGGCACTGGAGAAGACTTCCAAGGCGCTGGCGAAAGCCGGCTCGGTGTCCTGCAGGAAGTCGCTGTCGATGCTGGCTTTAGCGACCATGCACGCGAGGTTTACCAGCTTCTCGGTAGCTTGATCCATTGCCATCACTGTCAATATGTCAGAAGACTTGCTTGAGAAGGGGTGATTGCCTTACAAGAGCGCACCGTTGAGTCAGATGCTTGGGAGGAAGGGCTCGGAGGAGCGTCGTCGACAGCCGCGGTGGATGCGACAGAGTCGTCCTTATCCTTGTTTTTGGACTGCTTGTTGGTACCGCGATCCATCGTCAGCTTTCAGGTTTGCCGCAGCTGTTGTTGAGAGATGTCTTCGGAGTGACTCTGCTGTTGAAAGCAGCAGAAAGTGTGATAGTCAGCTGTCGCAAAATGGCGGAAGGGAAGTCGTTGGATCCAGGTTGCTGGTACCACAGAAGTGGGTTCAAGGCATTGGTGAGAGCTGGGTTCCATAGCCTTGGGTCCCGTCTGCACAGTTACCACTTCAGCCCTCCGAGTCTGATCGGGAGGAGACACCCCGCTCCAATCAAATCTTGTACTGTGGAAGAAGAAGTTAGCACCTCGATGCAGGGCGTCATGGTACCTCGTGCTTTCATGGCATGAAGTTCCAAAAGAAACCTACTTGGTTCTATTCTGAAAGAACTCCCTCCTGGTTTGATCACACAATGAGACAGAACTCACAGAAATATCACTCATTCGCATGACGTCTTCCTTGTCCTGATGTATTGATATTGCCATTTTATCTCCATGCAAAACTTCTTTCCTAATTATTCAAGCGGAATTTTGGGATTTGCTCTTAAGCTTACCATTTTTGTTCCTCTGGGAATAATCGGAATGGTCGTTTGACATGGGTGCTAAACACGACAGGCCCGCGGGTTCCACGGTATCTAGTCACCTTGCCAATGCAAAGCCGGCGAGTCTAAGCCGATTCCGACTCAAAAATAGCCGCGACACGTTAGGCGAGGATCGGCGACTGCTGCTACACTTTCACTCCTTGGCAGCAATACATCGCACTGCCCTTGCATGGGGCAAACCCCCCAGACCTACTAAGTGTTCTGTTGTCAACAGCTAAACATGTTCTTCTGGCAGACGGATGTACACGTGATGCCCGCAGAATGCCCGCCGAATACGATTTTACGTCAGACAATCTGTTTGTTTTTATAGTCAGACTCACGGAGTTTCCACTCGGCGGTTGTAACGGCTAGGTGGGGTTTGTGCTGGTATTATGAACTGTGTTGAGTAGAATTTCTTGGAACTCGAATCATTTTCTCTTTCATCTATTATCATCTGCTAGTCATCAAAGTCCGAAGCTCTGCCGTATCTTCGTAGATCATTCAAAGTCGTTGTGCCAAAGTCAAAGTCTTTAAATTGCTCCTCCAGTGTGCGGTGGGCGGGACGTGGTTTTCTCAGCTGGTCATCAAGTTCGTGGGCCTCGGCCATTTGCACCGTGAGAGTCCCTTCCGTACTTGGGTCAGAGTCCTTGACATTCTTGTCGGACTTTTGCCCGGAACGTTCTCTAGTTCGATGGAAGCTAAACAAAGGACGGAGTGTTGGTAGGCAGCAACATATCACCGCACTTGAATAACTGGTCAATAGGTTCCACCCACGTTGGCAATTGAGCCTGTACACATACCAGTATGCCTCCAGACCGGTCCAGATCATAAGATCGACTGTCCCCCAAGTCGGATCTTTGAAGTCGAATGTTGTGACTTTGACTAGACGGATAATGGTTATAAAACAATTGCTAACCCCTAGTATTAGAAGCCGTGTAGAAGAGCCAACGTAAAGCTACGCGCTGAGCCAGACAGGACTTACAAGCCGCCAAACACAAAGGACATCAATAAAAGCATCTTCTTGTACCATGACATCCGCAATTGTGCCGCATAAGGCATCGGAAGAATGATAAGAATGAAATCGGTGATAATACTGCCGACCGCTATGCTGATGTAGAGTTTCGAAATATCGATACAGTTTTTGTGGTTTGTCCAGAAGTTCGAGACGGGATTGCAGGCCAGAATCAGCGGTAGTGTCTGACATAACCTTGTCAGCGAGCTTCCTACTCATCGCTAGCCAGCCACTCCAATTGAATTCGCTAAAGGGTGTGTCCTTGAGGGTTCGTGAGCAATACAACATTGTTACTTACAGCGTAGATTGCCCAAGCCATGATGAAGGCCATCAAGCCGTATAAGTAGTATCGCGCGTTAAAGAGCCCAAATATTCGATGGTATAGCACCACGAGAGATAGCCTCGCAGTCGCCAGTCCAAACGGATACAAGATCTCGTTGGCGAATATTGTTTGGTAGAAGTAGACAATGTTCATCGGATCCTCCTCCTGGACCACGACTTCGTGTCTGCCGAGACCGAACCGTAGCCAAAGCATCGTCCCGGTGAACACACCAGCGATGAATACCTGTGACTCTTTGGTTAGTTATGTTCCAGTTGAAGCCATTCAAGTCATCCCATCACAGGAAAGCAGCGTGAAGTTTCGACCGCAGTGGACCGAGAGGTCTTCGTCGGGCAGAAGAACATACCAGGCTTGCTATAGCCAGCCAATCATCCCACGTAAACCTCCTCCCCGACACCCTTGCCGCAGCTAATCTCGCCAACACGGAGATAATTGACAGAAGGAAGAACGTCAGATGTATCGCGTAGACCTCATCCGCTCGACTCTCGGCTCTGAAGGCCGAATCCTCCTCCGGGGTCATGGAAGGCATGCCTCAGCCGCGTCCAGTGACCGATAGAGGCAATTGGATGGCTGAAAAATCCGGTCACCATGAGGGACGCTGTTGGATTTCAGCTTCGATGAACGACCGAATGGACTATAGGTAGGGGAGCGCTAGAAAACCTCTGGAAGAACTCCTCGTAGTTTTAACACATGGAAACGTCGGTCTGAAACGGCTTTCCGGTGGTCTTTGCTGGTTTACATGAGCAGAGTTTGGTCAAGGCATTACCTTCCAACAAAAATGGAACTTTCCATCCGAGTCTATCCCAGAAAGGTATGTCATAACAGTGCCCACGATTCATGAACCGACTTACCCCAAAAATTTTTTTGACGGGGTTAGGACTATACATGCATTTCAGGGTATCCGGCAATGTTAAGGCAGACACACGCGTTCCAAGCCACGGTATTTTAACTCGCGAGCCACTCGGAATATTCGTTTTTCGTCATAGCTCTCTTCCCGGCGGGAAGGTTCCAACGGAGGACGACTAACAAAGGATTACCCCTGTCAATGCTGAGGGGTTGACTTGAAGGTTGCTGACTTCAGAATTTTGTTTTATCAATGATGCCCGCACCAGCCCTACTTCACGATTCATTCGAAGAATAATCCACTAGGATTGAGAGGATGCCGTGAGAAATCATGGCACGGAACGGAGAAACTATTCGATTTTACGCTTCTACGGTCAACCAGGGATGACCTTTGAGACTAATTCTGAGACTCGCTTCGGTGCGACCAACCAAATTGGTTGTCAAATTCGGCAAACATTTCGCTTCTGAGCGACAACCCAGATAGGAAAGTGACCAGCGAAATTCACATAGCTGTAGCCTTGTGAAAGGGCAGAACAAATGCAATGGTGTTTGCTAACACTTCATCACCCTCAGTTGTAGTGAGGATCCTAGAACTCGAAAACGCGCGAAAGATTGATTGCATTACGAGAGCTTATCATTGTTAAGGCCTCCATGGGTCAGCTCTGCATCGTCCAGTTTATTACCCCGCACCGGCATTGTCTCGTCTGACACGCAACAATAGGCCACGCTACAGGTATAAGATCTCAATACTCCGCAACACTCGCCTACGTGAAGCAAACCTCAGTTTTCCGCAAGTGACTCTTACTACATCATATACATATTCTGCAACGCAGACTTTGAATCGAAATAGCTACATGTAAGACAAGATTATGCGGTAGTCAGAGCCGCAGCCTTTTGCATTTTAATTACCTTATTGGCCATGGATTCCAAGCAGCTTCCATGCCTCAGCAATCACTCGAAGCAATAAGAAACTGCAATTGCCCGTCTTTGCCATTCTTACATGATGCCAAGAGGTGGTGCAGTCTACTTGCTGGGGGGTGATGATTCCTAGTGGCAGCAACAGTAGCAACGTGCAGAACTTAGTCCCTGGTTATATGAATTGATTCGATGGCCTTTAGAATTCGTCGATCGCAGCGAATCAATCACTGCATTGCCTTTTTTTTCTTTTTTTCCCTTTGATAGACTCGGGAATTGCAATGGGTTGTTAAGTCACCAATCTTCCCCGCAATTGAGAGATTCTCACCCCAGATGTGTAGCTGTGCCGCGTGCGCCAAGTGCAAGTCCCAACAGCATATGGTGGTTCGAAACCCCGCACTCCAGGAACATCGGCTCGAGTGTCGGCAAACCCCCGGTCCAAACTCGGCTACAAAAAGGCGCCGGATTCTCATGTCTCTCATCCTACACACAGTCATAAAGATTGGAATGCGGAATACAGACGATCTCTATACCCAGATGTTGGCAATTAAGTTTGAAGGATGGCTAGGCCTGGGTCCGGACTCTGCGAAGGGAAAGATGGAATGGGGTTCTTTTGAACCAAAGGCTTGGACCGAAAATGACATCGATATTCAAATATCCCACTGCGGAATATGTGGATCTGACTTGCACACACTCCGTTCTGGCTGGGGCAAGACTGACTATCGTAAGTCTTCCGCGTCTTTGAAAAAGCAGCGAACATCCTCTTCTAACTTTCTTCCAGCATGCTGTGTCGGTCATGAAATTATTGGGAAAGCCGTTCGTGTCGGCTCGAATGTGCGCCACATTCGTCTTGGTGATCGCGTTGGGGTTGGTGCCCAGGCCCGGAGTTGTCTCCGGACCGACTGCCCAGACTGTTCTCGCGGAGAGGAGAATGCCTGCGTTCGAGAACGTGTCGACACCTATGGGTCTATCTACCCAAATGGCGAAGGGAAGTCTATGGGTGGTTATGCGGACTATAACCGCACCAACGGCCGCTTCGTATTCAAGATTCCCGATGGCCTGGCATCTGAGGCGGCGGCACCAATGCTATGTGGCGGTATTACAGTCTACGCACCTTTGAAAAACCACGGATGCGGTCCCGGAAAGACGGTGGGTATCATCGGGCTTGGCGGATTAGGGCACTTTGGAGTCCTTTTTGCCAAAGCTATGGGCGCCGACCGAGTGGTAGCAATCTCAAGGCGACGATCGAAAAAAGGCGATGCACTCGCGCTCGGAGCGGACGAGTATATTGCGACTCTTGACGATGAGAAATGGGCCAGGAAAAACAGGAGAACTTTGGACCTTCTGATTTGCACAGTCTCAAATTCTGATATGCCTCTTCAGCAATATCTGAGCTTGTTGAAATGGGGAGGATCGTTCGTTCAAGTCGGGTAAGTCTACTTCGAATGCACGCAATAGAATGAAAAAGCGACATTTGACCACCTTTAACTAATACGTACTTTTCAGATCTCCTGATGGAGGGAAGCTGCCCGAAATCAGTGCCTTTACACTCATCATGAATAACATTCAGGTTGGCGGCAGCAATATTGGGTCTGTGAGTCAAATCCAAGAAATGCTAGAGTTTGCTGTGAGGCAAAACGTCAAGCCTTGGATCCAGACGAGATCCATGAACGATGCCAACCAAGCAATAGTGGACATGGAGGATGGAAAAGCGCGATACAGATATGTGCTTGTCAACGAAAGGCATTTCGGAGTTTCAGTTGCCTGATCTTCCTGAGAATTGCCACGATGAAGATCTGCTTCTCAGTCCTCAAGCCTAAAGGTCAGGTCCGCGGCGAAAAGAGCTTCAGCCAATGCATGTTTGAGAACATGATCAGCTTTCAACAACAACGTTAAGAAATGTATATAGACTTATCCGTTAGGGTAAGAAAGACAATTTCCGTCACCTTTTCAAAACACTCCGCGCACAGAATCCGTGGTTCAACGTCGTTCATGCGTTCTCGTCGTCTGGCGCTGGCTACACAGTCGGTGTTTCGACGTTTCCCCTGTCATATTTCTTGGAACTTAACGAGCTTGTTTTGGTAGTGGGGAATCTACAACTGCGTACCGGAGAAGCATGGAAGGCTTATCGCCGTCTGCTTCAACACCATATGACTCCGAAGGCCCTATACGAAGTAGTCATCCGAACATTTATACAACCTTTACCCGACTGTTAGATCTACGGGCATTGAATTTGACGTTGCTCCCAGGAAGCTCTCAAGCGTTGGAAGTCACATCTTCTATGCAGCCCTCAACGCTGTCTTTGATTTTGGGTCCATGAATTCCGCGGTGGGAAGAGCACTTATTCCACCGATTGGAAAACTCTTCACAATAAATGACGAGTACAAACAATAATACAATGAGACTACTGTAAAGTAAGATTTCATCTTGTTTCTGCCAGCATCAACTGATCCAGCATTTGAGGCCACATTGGAAGCAGCAGAAAATGTCACAGGAGTGACCTTGAGCGGTTCTCCCGACATTGCCTGGTGGTTGATCGGCCTGAAGCCCAGCGTGCAGCAAATGAGAAGGGCAAGAGATACCTTTCACAGGACTCAAATACTGGAGGCTGCCAAACGATATCAGACACAAGAGATGAATGCCAGCAACGTGGCGAGAGAGCAAGAAAGACAGCCGGTGTATTAATGTCAGACTTTGAAAGACTTAGACGTCGATCGTCTAGTCACTTGAACAAACGTTGACAATAAAGAAGGCTTTATGCTTCGTCATTACTGGTCATGACACAACAAATACTACTCTCTGTTGGTGCGTCAATTTTCCCGCAGATAATTCGGCAGGTCAAAGCAGACTTCGAGCTCATCTACGTCAATTTCATTCTTTGGCTATTGCTGAGACTTGTCTGCCCTCCCATGAGAAAATCACACGTCCAGACATTTGATATCTAGATGCTGTTATTGAGGAAATTTTGCGCCTTTGTACACCGCCATCGCGTAAGATCTGCAATGCAATGGAGTTAATAGTCCTGGGTCACTACATCCTAAAGGGCCCTAAAGTGTTCATTGCGAGCAGGGGCCCGAGCTTTATAGAACCTGGATTTGATGTTGAGGAGAAAATGCGAAGCTCATCATGCGGAACTGCCGCCAAAGAAAGCGATATCAGAGTTTGAGAGACGGATGGTATGAAAAGTTTCTGTCTAGAGAGGTGGCTTGTAAAGGGCGATCTGGGAGACGAGCTATTAATGCACTTGCTAGACCTAAGACTCCATTAGATCTCGGTCTAAAAGACTGCTTTAGGCGTAAGATAAAGCATGCTCTACAGTTCTAGTATATATAACTATATATATTATAATGTAATTCTAAGGGTATAAGAGTTAGAAACATAATAAAGTTAAGCCTTTATATAGACAGCTTATTAATTAACATACTACTTATAATTACTATAGTTATATTAATATCTTTTATTACTTATTCTATTCAGATAAAGAGAAGAAATTAACTAGTTAAACTTCTTAAGATATGTTAACTTTTAACAGCAAGGGCTTACTGGGGCCTCCTTCCACATGGCCTATTTCAATTATGCTTAGAATAAAGCGTTAGAAAAACAGAAGGGCTAAGTAGCGTTGTAAACTCCTGTTCTGGTGCTCTGTTCTTCTCCCGCCCGCAAGGCTTTCCCACCCTTCTTTCTTCCACAACTACATCTTTTGCTTTCAGTCAGGCAACGAGTGGCCAGCCTATCGTCACAACAAATACAACAGCTGAAGAGGGGAACCTCAGGCACTTCACGTCCCCTCATCATCGGATGTCAAAGTATTAGCTCGTTGAGTTTGATTTTCAGTCTTGAAGTCACTACGCTTAGGTTTCACGACCCCTTGCAAAGACACCACATTGGCGAAGTGGGTGCGCCTGGCGGCTAACCACATTGCCTACCGGGTATTGCCATCGTCATCATAAGGAAACCCTTCCGACGCCAGTCGCCGCGACACCTGCGCACCTGAAATTTTTGTCTTCACACCATCGTCAAATACGCCAAGATGAGTAGCAGGAGGACGCCCGCCGGAAGCAATCGTCGTCGGACCGTGGAGCGTTTTCACCCATACCAATCACCTACTTCGGCTCAGACGAACCGTGAACCCTCGAGACCACCTTCTACGCCTCGCCGCCGCCTCTTCCAATCGACTTCATTAACATCATCATCAAGCTTGACGCCTCGACAGCGACGCGCGGCAGAAGCAGATGCGTACCTTGCTGATTTTCTCGTCGGGAGTAAGTATCCATCCATCTTTCCCTTGGCTTTGCCGGAGGCCCAAGTTCCAATTTCTCTGCTGACACGCATAGCAGCTCCAGAAGAGGGCCATTGCGAGCTGGCGGGTTACGACCAGTTCTTCGCTATATCCGGCCTGTCAGCATCAGAAAGCTGTCATGAAACCTCGGCAGCCCACAGCCCTTCTTCTAGAGCCCCAGCATCGTCAGCCACGGTTCGCCGATATCACTCGGCTACCTGGTCTGTTCGTTTTCGCGAAGAGTACATCACCAAATCAATGGTAGACAGGATTCAAAGGTTTACGCGGTTCGTGTTCCATCCAGCCTCGGTGCGAATCACACGCACTCCCGGCGATGGCATCATAGAGCACGGCGTCCCTCAGGCGGAGACCAGTCTGTACAACGGCATTGATGTGGCTCTACAGGGGCGATGGGTCATCACCGAGGACAAAGTGTTGGGAGTAACCAGGTTTTTGAGAACGTTGACAAATGGGTGCGATGTGGAATGTTCAACGAGGGACATAGGTGTTGGTGGGGAGGAACTTGGAGACGAGGTTTGAGTACGTTAGTTAGGTCATGCCCGTGGACTCGCTAAACACATGAGGTGCACCCATGATGCAACGTGCCTGGCTCACTGTGCATGTCATGCTGGGCGCGAGACATGTGAGGCACATCTGTGCCGAAGCAGAAGCTTCTTGACACGGGCTGGGACCTGTCGAAGCTGGGATCAAACGGACCGCTGAAGATTCCCGGCGGAAACCGCGTCAGCGAATGGTGCTTACCAGCCAGATATGTCAACCGGTGAGTGCGTTGCTGCATTGCCAAGGGTACATGCATGCAAGGCCCGGGCATGGTGTCGGTGACTGCGGCAATCTCGGTATGCCGCCTTCCATTGACTGATTGAGGTGACAGACAGACAGGCCGGCTGGAGGTGAAGATGGCTGGTCGTGGAGGGCATTTATTCTTCGCGTCGCTGTATTCGCGTCGGTTTGCGCTGCTTTAATCACAATCCGAGCATTCCGCAGAACTGCACCGGCTATGATGGCAGGGAAATCGCACTTGGACACTGCGCGTCGCGGGTTGTGTGGTGGGCATCTACAGTGTGTACACTAACTACCTTCCTTACCTTCCCATCCCGTCATTGTCTCTGCATCGCAGCGTCTGCCAGAAAACCGGACTGACCCACGTGCACCTACATAGAACGCAACATGCCTGGGATCCGCGTCTGCCTCGGCGATACCAGCGACTCCGGACATCAAGGGCAATTTGGGCGGCGTGTACTTCTAAGCCGCGCTCAAAGAAGATGTTACAGCTGGTGGTGCGTCTCCGCCGGCGTTGGCCTGGGCTAGTCACTATCGAGGCTCGGAAAACCCGCCGCTTGATGAGGCGCCGGCTCTCCTGGAGGATCATGTACGGCTGGGCAATGAAGGTTGTCGGCGGCGGGTTGGGGGTCGAGTACGTCGGTGTCGGGGATTCTCTTCCATAGGTACCTACCTACCTACGTACGTGCCTAAGGTACCTACCTACCATGGTGCGTGGGTCGGTCCCCTGAAGACGCCCGGCCTAAAGCGCATCGTCTTCCTCTACACCACCACCAAGTGTACCACCACCGCCGCTACCCTTTCGCTCTGCATCCCCACTCGGCCCAGCTTCCGTCACCACAAATGCATCGCCTCTCTGCTCCGTATCCGTACCATCTCCTTCCGCTGCTGCATCTCGTCGTGTCTTGGGCGCAACCCCTTCCCGCTGAACAGACGCATTGTTCGAAGCCGAACTAGCCTCGGCGTCAGAAACAACTGGGCTAGAGGGGCCACCAGAGCCAGTCGGGCTTGATGGGCTGCCAAATCCAGTCGTAAAACGAGCCCTCTTTGGCGGTCGGCGAGGTGGCGTCTCAAGGGGGCGAAGAGGGCTCGGCTCCTGGGCCTCGAGCCCGGCAGCGGCTCTGGACCGGCGAGGCCGCCGTGGCGGAGTCTGGAAAAGGCGGCGCAGAGTTCCGGGCGTCTGCTCTTCAGTTGTCGGGATGGTCGGGGTTGCGGGCAGCGCGGGCAGCGGTGTGGATGGTCCAGGTCCAGGTCCAGGTTCAGGTCCAGGTGCCGTTTCAGTCGAGCGCGGAGGCGTGAGACCGGTCTCGTCCTCGGCCCGAGTGCCGGAGGTGGGCTTGGTGGGTGTGTCCTGCCCGTCGTCCATTGCGCAAATAGGGCAGATGGCACGATGTCTCTTTGCTTCGTGTCTGGTCTCTGCTCGTGCTCGGCCGACTCTGCAGAGTGATGCAACTTTCGTCGACCATTGGGCGGGCGGGATTAATCATTGCGAGGAGGGATGAGCTCCGCGAATGCCGATCCATATCCGATGCAACCTTGCCCCGCACGCGTTTCTCCCGCCGCGCTTTCCTGCGCGCCATCCGCGTCTGCGGAAATTAGTCGAGTGATTAAATAACCAGCAACTTCAACATGTGGCTTTGAGTGCACCGAGCATGAGGCGTTGGACTGCGTTGATGTCATGTTTGCGCGCGAAGCAAGACAGCAAAGGGGGCGGAGAGGCACAGATAACTAAGTTTCATTTATCGTCCCATTCATTGCCGTTTTCTTCCACCGCCAATTACAGTCATTCTAACACTGATCTTGTCCGTCAAAGCAAAGTAAATAAAGCCCGTCCACCACTTTTTGAATCCTTCTTACATAGTCGAAAGAACCGGCCAACCGAGTGTAAACCCATCCTCATCGGTGAAGACGGTGTCATCGACAGTAATCTCTTTACCATTTCTGGTGGGCAGGAAGACGTGTCCGTCGAAAACATCCTTCAAGCATACTGTCTCTAGTTGCTGGCATTGCCGGAAAAGCTCCACAGCATTGATTATCAGATCCTCCTTGAGGGGATGTGTCTCGCGAAGATCATCAATCTCATCGAGGAGTCTGTCGTCGAAAAGACCTGGACGGGGGTAGACCTTGGGAACAGTGGTCAGAGCAAGATATCGCAGATTGTTGAATTGCTTGAATATGGGGATGAGCGCCTGATTCTGTTAGTTTCGACTATTTCGGCGGAACTTCAGGACTCACTGAGACTCTGGTGTTCTTCAGCTCGCCGTCAACGAGAAGCTTCGAGACTTGAGGGAAGAGTTCGAAGATTTCCTCAACGTCTTCAGTCGTCCAATTGTCCTGCTTGAGCTCGAGGACCTCTAGCTGCAATTTCGTCGAGGCGGCTTGCAGTCCAGGCGTCTTCTTGGGAGATGTCTTGACGGTGACACTGAGCACACGTAAGTTGATGAAAGTGCTGGGGACGAAGTTCATGGTAGATGTGTTGCCAAAGGTCAAGATTCGGATGGATGCTAAGACGATGTTCTTATCGAGAAGTTCCTTGCGAAGAGGGCCTGATAGAGTCTTGTTGCCGTAGCGGAGTCTGAGTGAGAGCTCCTCGAGATTAATCATCTTTTGCAGAACGGTTGCCAACAGAGCAGGGGTTGCTGCAGGACAGGGACCACTGGCGGAGTCAAGAAAGTCCCAGCGGGATGCAGGTCTGTTGGGGCCGTCGGATGAAAGAGAGAAATGTCTGCAAATATCAGAATCGATGTATTAGGGTAGAAGGTGAGGGCAGCGACGCACTGGACGGCAGACAGGATGGTAGGGTTCTTCTCGATGACCTGAAGGCTGTCAAAAAGCTTGTCCTCGTTGATCCACTTTCTCATCCGCCGGAAGATGTAGGGAATCGTCAACGAGCGAAGCTGTTTATTGACACGGGAGAGAGCTTTGCGCGTCTGGCAGAGGTTGATGATTTCGAGGACAAGCTCATTGGGGAGTTTGATGAAGTGGTTGGTTGAAGATTGAGGATCCTTGCTGGCGCGATCGCACAGCGACGCCTGCAGCGACTCCATGTCGGTGCTCGGTGTTTCGATCAAGCTGGCAAGAGAGCGTAACGGATCGGGTAGACGGGCATACAGGCTTTTGGCCATAGAAACTTGGGGGTTGGGTGGCCACGTTGCGTGTTCCAACAGCCCAAGAGATCATGCAGATACGCTGCCCATACTTGGAGGCCAGCATCGAGGAACTTTTCCGCACATCACTGACAGCGCCAATGTGCGTCCGAAGTTCGACTCAAGACACGCAGATTCTTGGTAACCACATTCCAAAGGGAACTGTGGTGTTTCAGGTCTGGAATCAGGCAAGCTATACGCAACCTGGCTTCTTTATTGACGATAGGCTGCGGACTCCAGCGGTTCAGGCGTCAGCAAAAGGGTCTGGAAACGGCGGCGAAGACTTTGGGTTTAGGACAGCGGATTATGCGCCTGAACGTTGGCTAGCGAAGTCCGGGGACGGCGGTAGAGATGTTTTCGATGCGACGCGAGGGAGGAACATGATTTTTAGCATGGGACCAAGGGGCTGCTATGGGCGCAAGCTGGCATATGTACAGATGAGGATGCTCGTAGTGTTGATTTTGTGGGTTTTTCAGCTTGAAGAGTTGCCAGATGAACTTAACACGACGGGCGCGTACGACAAGCTTACTAGGGAGCCCCACGACTGCTATGTTCGACTGACCGCCCTAACTATATAGCCCTTCAACTTTTCGATTTCTTGATATTAGATTGGATAGACTGAAAGTCCCCTTTCGTTGAATTTAGTTACATGCGATGCTTGCCTCTGAGCTTGGAACGCATTCAAATCCTTATCAGAGAGTGATTGCCTCCGCGCCAAGAGACGCCCGTTTCTTTGATATCTTCACAGCCTTGTATTATTCCACAGCCCAAGGAGGCAATGGGTACCAGCTACTTTGGGACGTCATGGATCGGCAGCAAACGACTCTGGTGAGCTCCCATCGACCATTGCCGGCGACGCCCCATCTCCGGTTTCACCCAGCTGGCATCGCTTTTTCGTCGAGATATTTCCTACCGACGGGTCTTCACGAAGGCGAACTTCGGAGTTGGAGATTCTCCTTCAGAGTTTAGATACGACAGCGAACCCTGAACCCTACCATTCAGGGCCTTATTCTTCAGTAGGTGGGATGAAATCAAGCGGACATCCGCTGGGCAACTAGCGCCGAACTCTACATAGAACTCAATTCCCCGCAACGAACGTCTGAGCACAGCTGGAACGAAGACCCGAGGACACGAATCCATCGGAATAGCATACCCCAAGGCAGACAACCTTTTAGCCGGAACTCTCCACTTCGGGACCCGGCCCGGACGACCGCACAAATTCGGGGTTCTCTATGAACAGACTCCAGCCTGACTTTCGCATCTTGCTGTCGCATTTTCAGTGAGTTGATAAAGAAATCGAACTACATGCTTCTGATTAATTGGGTTGTTGAAGAGAGTCGCATTGACCACCCATGAATGCTTCTTACACCACATCAGTGAAACCAAGTTTCCTATCAAGCTGCGGGTATGATTGGTTTCCTTCTACTTCTACATATGTAAACTGTGCCCACTATTTTCCCTGGATCTAAATCTCACCTCTTCAATCTCAGTGAAATGATTGAAATTCCGCGGAAGAGGCCCATTGTCGAGGATCCTGTCAACACGCCCCCCCCCCCCCCCCCAAGGTAACCTCTACAAAGCTGCGTCTCAATGGCTAACACACCAGACAACAATCTTTTGACGTTCAAAGAAGTGATTTGCTTTGAACCCCTCTGCTAGGCAGTGCGCACTTGGTATCCATCCTCATCTTATACTCAGGGGCTGGGCTCGGCCCTCCCCTGTACCACAGACCCCGAGGCATCTCGCCTAGAGAGCCAGCCTTCTTGTCTCCCGCAGATCTATTTGTAGGATATTCTTTGTCCTTGTCTCGTCACTTTCAACCCACTGGCATCTTGTGAATGAAAGAATCAGTTCACTGATACTGAAGTTACCTCTGTTATACTGCTGCCCAAGGACAGGGACGATGGCATTGGTCGCTTCCCGGGCGTGGTAGTGGGGGATCTTGGAGAAGATATGGTGAACGACATGGTCCGTGGAGATATTGTGGAAGAAGTGCACCCCTATAAAACCCCATGGCCATGAAAAGTACCGATCCATGGTGGCGGTTGCGCCCAAGACGAATGTCCACTCTTCAGAGGTGTATTTTGGGATATCAGGATGGGTGTGGTGGAGGTAAGTGATCATGACTATCAAATATTGCAGCTGAGCTAGTGAAGGTCGTCTGTTTGCTCGACTTTACTTATCAATCCAGTGATTAACCCACATCCATGGTGCAATCCACAGCCAGAAGACATCTGAAAATGTTCCGGTGTACTTGTACAACAGCCAAAGCCCGACGAGCGTGCTGAAGCATCCAATATCGGAAATAATGACGGCGGTGACTTCGGAACTCCTAAACAAGGATCCCCAAGGATCCAGGTGACTATGTCGCCAGAATGGCATTCCTGGTTTAATTACGGCAGACGGCGCGCACGCGATGTTGGTCAGGACATACCAGACCCAGCCGACAGTTTGTTGCAGTACGATTCTGAAGAAAAGCCAGGCAGGTGCATCTTCGCCAAGCTCGTCTAGCTTTCCAGGCTCCAAGCTGAGCTTAGCTGCGTACTCATTTCGAAGAGGCGGCACGTAGTTGTGATCTTTCCCCATGTTTCCAGCGTAGATATGGTGACGGCGATGAGTCGACTTCCAGGAGAAGTACGGGGCAAGGAGAAAGGAGTGAAGAATGAAGCCAATGATGTCGTTCACGGCGCTTATCGTGGAAAAGGCGCTGTGGCCGCACTCGTGGGCAATTATTCATAGGCCGGTCCAAACTAGGCCCTGGACAAAGCTGTGAGTCAGAAGCACGATATACTTGATGTACAAGTACGGCGCTTCCCAGCCGAATTCCGAAATCTTTGCATAGAGATAACAGAGCAGTGTTGCGTAGGAAAGATCGCGGAGGAGGTAGAAAAATGACCAGAAATGGTTAGGCTTGAAGCAATGAGCTGGTATGGCCTGTCGAAGCTCCTTGATCCCAACGTGGGCTTTCACCAATGGTTTCTGAAGTGAATGTCAGTGAAGGACGCACAGATGGCGTTCATTTATTTCACCTCCGCTCTATCGGACAGAAACTCTGTGGGATGGAGTTCTTCGGCGGTGTCAAGGCCGGTCCTCTGCGGCTCTTCGGAAGGGAACATAATAATTGTTGAAAACAAAAACGTTGCAACAGGCTGAAGGTATTCACAGCAGCAATGAAGTTGGCTTCCCAAAAGTTGGTTCGCAAGATACGAGAGACAGCAATGCTAAAAACTAATTGCATTGGAGGCATTGAGAATTATGTCAACGTTGGCGATGATTCAATACTTATAGTATGTTCACCGCCCAAGGATATCTGTGGAGCAAGTGCCTGATTGATCGTCTGATGGCCCGGTCAAAAGGGGTTAATACACGAACGTCAGCTGGCTAGGAATACACGCAAGGCAAAACCCGGATATGGAACTACACAGTGGAAAAAGCGGAGATCACATTTGTCAAGTTTGCTTCCAGAGTGGGTTCAGGTTGAAGCAGGAAGTAACCGACACAAATTTTTGGTTGGGCCGTCTTTGCTGAGTCTGGTGTCTATTGGCTTGAGATGTTTGTTTGCTTTGCCCAATGACGGCTGATTGTAGGACCTTTGCCGCTTTCCAGCTTTCAACTAAATAGCGCAACCCAGGTTGAAAAGCGGCAAATCTTGATCATATTCCCTGCGATCGCAATTTTGTTTGCAGCGCTGGTAACCAAAGAGACCTGGCAGTAGTTCTTTTCAGCCGATCCAGTTCAGCCGATGGATCTGTTAAGCGGCACATAGTCATCACAGCACCTACCGTGTGTTGTGGAGCTCGTTATGGAACACTTGGTGCGGCACAGGCAGTCCAAATGGGCTTCACTGTCCCGAAAGCGACATGCTGCTTGAAGCCGCCACACCATGACTAATATGCGCTATAAACACCTTCTTGCCAATCATCAAAATCTCAGGAAGTAACATACAGTACGGAGATCATACGCAGTCGTTTTTTTCACCTACTTCATGGTTGTTGGTGCGGCTGTTTCGGTGTCATTGCCCTGTTGGTTTCTTCCGTTGGTGACTCCATGTAGTCGCAGGGAAAGTGTACCAGGGGTGCGACGGGTGCTTCTGGGCCGACAATCACTCACTCTCACTCATCTTGCTACTTGGCTCGGTTTACTCAGGAACCAAACATCAACGTGGAAGAGCAGGGTTCACTTTTGAACCGATTGAGAAACCGCATGTCATTGCGTGCAGGGAATCCCAAATCTATCTACCTATCTACTGAGTACCCGGCCCTTCTCCCTGACAAGATCGTCCGTCCCTTTCTACCGGTCGCTGGAACCAACAAGTTTACCTCCAAATATCCCTCGCATCTAGAGCTTGCGTCATCTTATCAAGATTGTGATCCAGCCTGCTCGCATTGTTGTGGCAGAAAGAAGATGTTCCTTGGGGGAAACAACCGCATCCATCTATTTGCCCTCAGTGCCGATTTCGTCCTTCACATCACTGATCTCATCCTTCTTGGGATAAGTCATAGCCACCTGGTAGCATCCATACTTCTTAGCCCTGCGTTCAATTTCCTCCTGCAGGTCAAATTCCGGTTCACCAGGCTTCAGGCTGTGGAAAGAGTCTACCAGCTCCTGCATCTCTTGGTTGATCTTGGCATGTTCCTCGGGCTTTACCGGCTTGACGAAGCGCTGGAAAACAACCTTGACGCCAGAGTGGCGAACTAACGCATTGGTTTGGCCGGAGTAGGCAATGCTGCCGCGGGCCCAGATATACTGGTTCGCATCCAACCAGGGGATGAGACCGGCCGGAATGGTGTCTTGCTTCTTCTCCAGCTCAGCCTTGATGTTTTGACCAAGCGTCTGCTTGCCCGAGATCATCCACTCGTTGAGCGTGTCTCGGTCGACGCCACAGGTAGTTATGAGATGAACATAGATGTCGAAGAGCTTGGCGACGTCGTCTCGGTGACAAATGACCTCGAAGCCGTAGCCGCGGAAAGCCTTGGTCACCTCAAAACTAGGACAGGATCCCTTCTTGACTGCGGCGATGAGCCCATCAGTGACCGACTCGTCCTTTCCAAAGACTTCCTCTGCAACTTCCTTGGCGCGAGCCCTCATGAGCTTGGCTGTCACTTCGGTGTTCATACCGGACGGCACGGACTGAGCCGTCATCTGCTGCATCAAGAGGCTCTCGAAGCTTTGGCGGTCAGGACAGACCCTCTTGAGCTGGTCAAGCAGCTCCTTGGGCAGACGGCCAGGCTCAGCTTGGGTGTCTCCATCTCCTAGGGAAGAGTCCCAAATGTACTGGTGGTTGCTGAAGAAGTCGATGAGGTGGTCGGGGACAACACCAGGCTCAGAGTCGAGATGAGCCTTTATCTTTGCAGCGAACGCCTTGCCCCCCTTGGAGCGCATGGTGTTGAGTGATCTAGCGGTGATGCGGTAACCTCCAATGAAGGCCTCGTAGAACTCCCAAAGCTTGCGAAAGTCGACAAAAGAGTTGGTTCGGTCCATGAAGAAGTCCTGGAGGGCAGCACGGTCCATGGGGGCGTCGCCATTCTCGACGATTGCATCGATGATGATCTCGGCAGAGGTCTTGCGCGGCATCGTGATTGTTGATGTACGTTATCTACCATTCAATCTGTCAGTTTGTACACAAGACCTAGCTTGATCAGTGGCACATACCGAGAGGATTTCTCTAAGATCTGAGGTGGGTTATGAGTGGGCGTGGTGGCTAAGATTGACTGGAGGTGGAAAGTCGGGGAGTGGGATTGTGTTGTAATTAAAAGCTCGAAGAATTCGTGGACGGAACGGAGGTGGGATGGAAAGAGCAGGGAGGTAAATTCTTTCGTGGTAGAAAAGAGGGCAAGAGCAGAGAGCGGTGGATGGAAGTCGAAAGGCGGTAATGGGAAATTTTTCACGCGGACGGAAGTGCAAGCAGGCCAAGAATGGTCTGTTTGATGCATACTAAGAAGGAAGGCAGGCGCTGGCTCAATTGCACACCTGATTCTGTGATCTACCTGCATCTTCCCAATGCCGTCCAGGAAGGGCCCGCCTTGGAGGTTTTTTGTTGCTTCCCCCCTTAATTCCTCTACCATGAATAGGTACTGTGACACATTTGCTCAAGGCTCCAGCCCTTCATCCAATCATCTACTTTGTCATTTGGACATGTGAATTGAAGGTTTGGCGAGGTACTCTGCCTGTTGAAGCCGACTGCTTTTCTTTGTCTTCTGCTTGGCATTTCTTTTTTCCTCTTCGTTCTCATGAGACCGCCTATTTTTCCTGTGTCTGCGCAGCTATATTTCCTATGTACTTTATCACTCCTGTCCAAGACGATAGTAGTAGCAACGAAGACAACAACGACGACAACGATGAAGACAATAAAGATAATAACGACAACAACGATAACGATGATAATAGAAGTAATAACGACTATTAAAGCGACGACGAATATTGAAGTATAGCGATAAAGTAGAATAGCTACAGGAAAAGTAGTCGACATAGCACAGGAAAAATAGGCGGTCTCGTTCTTATACTTGCCTGAGTCGCTGCTAATCGAAAGACTTGTTGTCCACTTAGTATGTCCTGGTTGTCTACTTTTTCGTTCATGGATGAATATCGTCACTGGTGCTTCTGCCACTGAAGTCTCATTTTGCTGGCGATTAGTATACAATCAACTGAGTTTGCACCACTATGCCTGAAATCCCCAAGAATGTAGGAGTCTATTATCTTGTTTAGCAATCATTATTGTGTCTATAAGACTAGGCTGTGTCTGCAGTACACGATATTAATAAATGTCCCAGACCTTTGTTCATATGCTGCCTTCCCTTTCTATGATTAGTCTCTTGTGATACTTTGATACACTAGGTATTTCTTCTCCTAAAACTAATTCCTTATTTAAACCGTCTGCAGTGACCTACCTACTTTTGAAGTCCACAGTTCTCTCAGCAATATCCAGATGCAATGTTTCTAGGCAATACTGTAATGTACTTTTAGCCTTATGATGCTTTTAAAAGGATAAGTAATATCTTAAAATATAATTCGTTAAGTAATTATAAAAGTTAACTATTTTTTAATTAAGCTATTGTATTATTCATAAGTTAGTTGTTACGGTCAGCTATCCGACAGTAGGGTCTGCTAACAGAAGCTGGGGATTGATACGTTCTAACAGTATACTGGGTCGTGGTCGTAGGTTGTAGGCTGTAGTAGATCGGTTCTTCAGAGGCTAAGGTGATCAGTCTTAGACTCAATAAGTGATTTGCAGTGAAGGTAAGCTGAGAGTATCTGTGAGGATGAATACTAAGTTGATTGCTGAAGAGCTATAGAAGTCTGACCATAAGCTAGGCTCAGGGTCATACTATATATAAGTTCTAAATAGTGTTCTTTATCTATCCCAGAGTGATCACCTAAGTGCGTAAGGTGATCGCGATCAGTTGGCAAGACCAACTGATCACTGAGCGTTCCCTCCTATACTCTACTGATCGTTTTCTTATCTTATTGTTATGTGACTTATACTATAGTTCTTCTGTTTCTGAGTGAGTCCCTGTTGTTCCTATAATCCTGCAGTATAAATGTCTTATCCTAGCCGCCTGATGCCTAAGTGGGTCGGTTAACTGTTATCTATATATAACGGGTCGTAACATCAGGTCCCCTCTCCAAAGGTCTTATCCTCAAGACCTAACATAAGTAGGTCGTTAGTCCCAGGTTGGGGATCTATCAATTATGCTTCCTGATTTACTTATAATGCTGACACTATGTCAGGCTATATCTAAAAATCGAAAAAGAAATCGGTCGTCACTACGCTCAAGGATTATGAGCGCAAAGCTTTGATTAAATACGTTAAGTCTCATTCTTTGGCTAGCGATATGCCTTATACCTATTGTTTTCAAGCAAAGGTTCCTTGCCGTTTTGGTGAGAAATCGTCTAGGTGTCATATATGTATCGAGGCGAAGAAGCCTTATGATAGCGTTCTAGTGGCTTCGACTTATATAGTGACTTCTGATCCTAATTTATCTGAGCGATAACTAACTGTGTTGTAGTGCAAAAGTTGAATAAGCAACAAAAGGAGTGGGATGAAAAAGAAGAGAAGGCTGGTGAGGAGCTGCTTGCACTTCATCAGGAGTTTGCTCGTTTGCAGACTCAAATAGCA